TAGTTTCCCTTCCCGAAGCGTAACAGCTCATTAGGCTTCTTCTACATATTACAGCATGTTATACCTCTTGTGAAGTGTGCTATCCGGACTAAGCGAGTTCCCCCCCCCTGCTATACAGTTTTCTATCTCCACGACCCTGGATCCTGAGCCTCCTCCCAGATCTTTTTCTGGATAACACCACTGGTTGAGCAGTATCTCAATCTACAGGAAACGATTACTATCACGAAATCAACCACAACAGTGGCTCCTACAAATCACTTTTATGGGCACCTTTAAAATTTCCGTCATCGGACTAAACTAGGAAGTCACATATTAATAAATTTAATGAATCATAACTGATCATAATTGTTTGTATTAGCATTGGGAGGATTTATGGAAAAGCAAAAATTCTATATACTTGGATTTCTGCTTAAAGTGACTGAACCTACCAGTAGGTCTACAAAGTAAGTAGCGCTAATTTAGTAAACGTTTTTCATATTTAGATTTTAGAAGAGAATGTTCAGTTTCCATACGTTAAGTAGCCTAGCACTAACGGCTTGTCTATTCAATACCAAAGATCCAACCTACCATATCAGAAATAAATAATCAAACAACCTGCTTCTGCCTGAATCTATAATTTATTGCTCGGACATTACCTTCCAGTATCAGTAATGTTTTTTAGACTGTCTTCGGCGCTAATGCAACGTTGCAGTTTAGTATTTTGGGAGGCCAGAAGATGAAGGAATTATGTGCAACTTCGATTGTACAAAAATCTGCAATCGAAGTTGCACATACCTCTTTCATCTTCTGGCCTCCCAAAATACTGAACTGCAACGTTGGATTAGCGCGGATACTGTAAGGTAATGTCCGAGCAATAAATTATAGATAAAAGGAACCGCATTCTATAGAGGTGCGTGGCTTAATTGAGTTGTCTCCAGTGGCGGTGGGCTATTGCTGTTGATGAGGTGCAGGTTTAATTAAATTCTCAATATGGTGTGATTTTCAAAGCAGATTACATCTTTATTTGTAATATATATCCAGACTTTTCAAAAGCAAAATATTTCCTTCAAATTTCAATATTCAGGCAGAAGCAGGTTGTTTGATTAATTCTGATATGGTAGGTTGGATCTTAGGTATTGAATAGACAAGCCATAAGAGCTAGGCTACCTAACGTTTGGACACTTCTAAAATGTAAATATTAAAAACGTTTACTTTACGAAATTAGCGCTGGCTATTAATCCTTCTTGCAACTAATTTCATTAGCTCTGAAAAGTATTTCATACGTATTCAGTTTAACCACTTTCCGTGTCTATACAAAACTGCATTCTGGTCTACATGCTTCTTACTTTGTAGACATACTGGTAGGTTCAGCCACTTTAAGCAGAAATCCAAGTATATAGAATTTGTGCTTTTCCAGAAATCCTCCCAATGCTAATACAAACAATTATGATCAGTTATGATTCATTAAATTTATTAACATGTGACTTCCTAATTTAGTCCGATGACGGAAATTTTAAAGGTGCCCATAAAAGTGATTTGTAGGAGCCACTGTTGTGGTTGATTTTGTGATAGTAATGGTTTCCTGTAGATTGCGATACTGCTCAACCAGTGGTGTTATCCAGAAAAAGATCTGGGAGGAGGCTCAGGATCCAGGGTCATGGAGAAAACTGCATAGCAGAGGGGGAAACTCACTTAGTCCAGGTAGCACACTTCACAGAAGGTATAACATGCTGTAATATGTAGAAGAAGTCTAATGAGCTGTTGCGCTTCGGGAAGGGAAACTTCGAGGAGCCCCAAAGCCCTCCCATGAATACGCCGGTATGCCCATACCAGAATAGGAACAGAGGCGTGGGGTCTGTGGGCCTAACTCAAAGAGTTCCGCCCTTCTTTCTAATATCATTGGGTTTGCATCCATCCAACGACGGCGACAAAGTAAATAAGAAATGAATAAGTCCTTCTTGATTCAATTTACAACTTAATGCATTAATCAAAGAAATTATCCTGTTTTTAGTCATAAAATGTTACCAGACATTTGAGAAAAAAGATAATATTTTAAATTTCAATAGGCATTAAGAGTAATCCATGTAATTTTTTCTTATGAATGTGGAAGTGGAACAACCAGCGGGTACGCTTATGCACTCAGTGGCGCGGCACCTCAAAGACAAAAGCTGTATTTTGTGTTTTTGGCTCATAAAGAGTTTGACAGTAGCTAGAAAAAAAGTCGTATTTTTCTATTTGACTCTTACGTTTAGTGGATTTAGCGTTCAGAAGGCTGGCTATTATTACCTCCAATCGCATCCTAAGAAAAAAATTCGGTCTGATTTTTTGTTCATTTTCCTGTTGAGCTTTTTGTCACTGAAAGCAAACTGTAGCTAAACTGTTTTCACAAAGCTTTTTGAAAAACTTAGTGAGGCTTCGCTTTGAAATGATATTCCCAACTTGGGGGAATGGGACGGAGGTTTTTTTCAGTGTACTCGTATAGTACAGAAACATTTTCACTGTATACAGGAAATCTATTTTGAATAACAATATGTCATTTTTTCAGACTGCTACGTGGCTCGTATTAGATTTTTATAAGAATGTGTTTGTTTATTTGTTACTTTTGTTTATGGATTTATACGGAAACTGTTTTTTTTTTGAGAATTCTAGATTGATTTATTACTTGTTTGTATTTTAAAGGATATTATTTTTGTTTTAATTGCATGGAATTGACTGTTTGTTTTTATTATTTTATACTATACACTATGCACCGGCAGGCTTTCGGCGATCTGATGCTTTTCTGCCGCTACACCAACGGGCTTTGCTCCTCGGAGCTGTCTTCCATGATGCCGCCGCGCGATGTGCCGCCTAACTTTGACGTCCCATTCTAACCATGTCGAGCTTCGTTCATTCAGAACTAGGCGATACGACCGCCCCTTTGTCGCAAGAGTTTCGAGACTATGGAACAATCTACAAGAGGAAGCTTTTCCCAGTTCTACTAACCTGAGGCAGTTCAAAAATCGTATTAACAAAATTTCTTTGGTGTTTCGGCATTTAGGCTTCTGCCTGCGCGACTGCTATATATATATACTCCATAATCATTTGAATTTTTGGCTCGTCTATTGAATACCAAATATCCCCACCACAGAAAAATTCATCTCTCAATCTCTGTTTGGGAATCTGACAGACCAGTTATTAAACAGACTGTCGGCAATGAGTAATCAGGGGAGTAGAAACACGTCGCCCTGCGACCTGTCTTTATGTAGAGCGTCCCTCTTTTTTCGAGTATAATTTATTGCCGGTTTATTTCTTTCATCTCTTTATCGCCGTCTGATGGATCACTCTAAGCAACCACTGGTTGAGCAGTATCTCAATCTACCGGAAACGATTACTATCGCGAAATCAACCACAACAGTTGCTCCTACAAATCATTTTTATGGGCACACTTCAAATTTCCGTCATCGAACTAAACTTGTCAAAAATGAATAAAATCAACAAATCATAACTGATCATAATTGTTTGTATTGGCATTGGGAGGATTTCTGGAAAAGCAAAAATTCTATATATTTGGTTTCTGCCTAAATGGGCTGAACCTACCAGTATGCCTACAAAATAAGAAGCATGTAGACCAGAATGCAGTTTTGTATAGACACAGAAAGTGGGTAAACTACATACTGGTGAAATACTTTTCAGAGCTAATGAAATTAGTTGCAAGAAGGATAAATAGCCAGCGCTAATTTCGTAAACTAAACGTTTTTCATATCGATATTTTAGATGAGAATGTTCAGTTTCCAAACGTAACTATGTTCGGTAGCCTAGCACTTACGGCTTGTCTATTCAATAGCAAACATCCAACCTACCATATCAGAATTAATCAAACAACCTGCTTCTCCCTGAATATTGAAATTTGAAAGAAATATTTTGTTTTTCACAAGCCTGGATATATATTACAAATAAAGATATAATCTGCTTTGAAAATCACACCATATTGGGAATTTAATTAAGCCTACACCTGATCAACAGCAATAACCCACCGCCACTGGAGACAACCAAGCCACGGGCCTCTATAGAATGCGGTACCTTTTATCTATAATTTATTGCTCGGACATTACCTTCCAGTATCAATCATGCTTTTTAGAGCGTCTTCGGTGCTAATACAACGTTGCGATTCGGTAGTTTTGGAGGCCAGAAGATGCAAGAGGTATAATATGTGCAAGTTGGATGGCTCATCGAAGTAAATAAGAAATGAATAAGTCCTTGATTCAATTTTCAAATTAATGCATTAATCAAAGAAATTATCCTGTATAGTCATGAAATATTACCAGACACTTGAGAAACAAAATAATATTTTAAATTTCAATAGGTATTAAGAGTAATCCATGCAGTCCGCGGCGCGGCACCTCAAACACAAAAGCTGTATTTTGTGTTTTCGGCTCACAAAGAAATTGACAGTAGCTAGCTAGAAAAAAGGTTGTATTTTTCTATTTAACTCCTCATTTAGTGGACTTAGCATTTAGAAGGCTGGCTATTATTACCTCTAATCGCATCCTAAGAAAAAAATTCGGCCTGGTTTTTTGTTCATTTTCCTGTTGTGTTTTTTGTCACTGAAAGCAAACTGTAGCTAAATTGTTTTCACAAGGCTTCTTGGAAAACTTACTTAGTCAGGCTTCGCCTTGAAATGATGTTCCTAACCTGGGGGAATGGGACGGAGATTTTTTTCAGTCTATAGTATAGAAACATTTTCACTGTATACTGGAAATCTATTTTGAATAGCAATATGTAATTTTTTCAGACTGCTGCCTGGCCCGTATTAGATTTCTGTAAGAACGTTTTTGTTTATTTGTTACTTCTGTTTATGGATTTATACAGAAACAGTTTTTCTTTTTGAGAATTCTAGATTGATTTATTACTTGTTTGTATTTTAAAGGATATTATTTTTGTTTTAATTGCATGCAATTGACTGTTTTATTTTATTATTTTTACTATATGATATATACTTCATAATTATTTGAATTTTTATTGAACCACTCACTAGGTACAAAAGATGCTTTACGGACCACACCGTGGAGTCGTGGGATTTCTCTGTGACGTAAGCGAAATCCTTTTTGGGATGGTGCGTCCGCACGTCAAAGCAATAGATTTTTTACTCTAACGTGGTGGCCACTAGTTTGTTCATCGGTATGCTTTTTCTATCTAACTGCAGCCCAACCACCTGTAAACGCAAATATAACGTGTAGGAAATTAATATACGTAACTGATCGTCAATATTTACGGAACGAGTTTTGGTTTCAGTTTAAGAAGAAAAATTCGTATGAACGTATGCCCTAAAGGTATTAACATGTGAGATATAGGGTGGTAAAATGTTCCAAAAATATATAATTTATTATTGATATCTGTAAATATCACTTTAGATGTTTTAGTGAAATTTGGCATGCATGTACTATGCACCAAGAGGCACTTTTTAATGTACGACATTTTTTTAATTTCAACCAGTGGCCCTTGTACAGAACTCCTCCTGCTTATTGTTATTTTTAAGCAAATTTGATCACTTGTTAGTTCAATCCGAAGCACGGTTTTTGTTTAAAAAAATAAAAACCGTTTCTCTGCATGATCATAACAATATCACTATTATGTCAATATCAGATATTCTTTGAGGTGAAAACCATGGGTCAGACAAAGACATTCAAAAGGTCAAATCTGATCTTAAACGGATATACAGATTTAATTTGCGTGCCACTGTATTTCTATATTGTATCTCATAAGTTAAGACGCTTAGGACATACAATCATATAAACATATATAAACATTGCCCTCTTAAATATTGACATGCAGTTAAAGAACATACCACGTTTACTCGCTGTTCGCTGCCGTTTAAGCAACACGTATAGCTACAAAACGAGTTCGCAACAAGTTTATATCAGCTTGTGCTAAGACATCTTGTAGAGAAACCTACGTTGTGTCACCAAAAACCTACGAAATGTCAAAAAACGCCGAAATGTCACTTTTCAAGAAACTTAATAACCGTTACAAGAAAATATTTTGTCGGAATATCCATATTTTGTCTACAACAAGGATGTTCTTGCGTGATGTTTTTCCACATCCGTCAAAATTTTCATCATTTGATTTTTTGTTTACAAAGTAGCAAATATGCATGCATTGTATGCTTACATTATAGTCCTTTTCACCGTTTTTGGCAGTTACGGCATCAACGCAATACGAAATAAACAGACCATCGAACTAGTTTTGAACTGAAAAAAGCATGCGCAGATCGAAATTACTGTCCCAGCAAACAATCTGTGCCAACCTATCTTCCACACATCTGCCACTCATTCCTGCACACATGTAGTGGGTCCGCCCTTTCCTTTCACTTTTGGGTAATATTACGATCTTAGCATAATGTCCGCCAATTTGACTTCCAGGCATTACTATATATATTTTATAACGAGGATCAAGAGATAAATTTAAATGGCAAGCTGATAGTGGTAGAACATTCATAACTTACTACGACAGTTTCTAGGCGGTGAGACAAAATTAAAGAAATTTTCTACACAACGCCGTTATTAGGTCATAAAAGATTAGGTTCAGCACAAGCCTCTCAGAAAAATGTCAGTCAAACAGGTCCATACGATTAGTCCATACACATTCTTTCCCTGCCCTACCGGTAGTGAATCTGGAAACGTCGTCTCTCCCCAGTTATACGTGGCAATGTTGTCAGAGCATAGGTCAAATGTACCGAGAAATCTATGATGTATGAAATATGTCTAGTGGGTGGATATGGTTACCAAGATTGCAAGCCCCACCCCCACGTTTTTTACCTCTATTTCTTTTTCATAAACGATCAGCCTACTCTGATACGTAAAAGAACAAAGTTTGAGCGATTTTTATTCTTTCCGTTTTTGGTATTTTTCTCTATCGCCGCTGGACCGATTTTCAAAAGCTACAAAGCTTTTGTGTCCTTGGCATAGTAGTAACCTTTTGTAAGATTTTTATCAAAATCCGAGCGGTACTTCTCTACTCATAGGCAAAAAGATTAGCGGACATACCGGCAGACCGACTGACAAACGGAAATAAGTGACATGGGTTTTCGTGATGTACATGTCATATAACATAACAATACATATCTCATTTTAAAAAAAATCCCCAACAACAATACCTCCCGCCAGTAAGCGTGGGCAGTAATAACGCATGTCTAATGTTTGTTAGATTACATGTCTCAACGGTAAAAGACTTGTGTATGTATGAAGGAGATGGAAATATGAAAGTAATACCGACAGTTTTACTTTGATCTATGTAAACGATTACGAGGTTTGTCCGGAAAATACGCATAAAGATGGAATAATAACTTTATTTTACAATTGTTCAGGTATTTCAATAAGGTCTCCTTCAAAGTACTCCCCCTGAGACAAGGTGCACGTCTGCCAACGGTGTTTCCACTTTTGATACGATCGCTGAAAGTCTTCAATCGTGAAGCTCTTCATTTGCCGTGTTGTTTCTGCCATGATATGGCTTCCACATTTCCCAAGTACCGCCCCCGAAGCACCATTTTGCATTTTGGGAACAGAAAGAAGTCGCAAGGGGCTAAATCGGATAAATAAGGAGGGTGTATCGTCACGGTGATTGAGCTTAGGGCCAAAAACTCACGCACAACGAGAGATGTGTGAGAAGGCGCGTTGTTGTGATTAAGGATCCGCCTGGCCCCTTATGCCAAATCCGGTTGAACTCGGACCACACGAGCTATGAGACTACGCAAAACTTCAATATAGAAATTTCCGTTCACCGTCTGGCCGGGAGGGACAAATTCCTGGTGAACGATGCCCCGAGAATCAAAGAAAATAATCAACATTTTTTTCACATTGGACCTTGATTTTTTCGACATTTTTGTTCTCGGTTCCCCTGCTTGCTTCCACTGCTTTGAGATTTCAGCTCGATATCAAATTTGTAGAACCAAAACTCGTCACCAGTGATGGCCCGGTTGAAAAAGTGCCTCCTTTCGTCTGCTTCCAACCAATCTTCACAGCAAGCAACACTCCTTGCTTTCAATTTTTTCATTTCAAGTTTTTCTGTCAGAATGTCGTGGACGACTGTTTTGGGGATTGACAGTTCCTCAGCTATCATTCTAATTGTCAATCGATGGTCTTAAGAACACAGACCCTTATTTGTTCAACAGTTCCCTCAGAGCTCGATGTGGAGGGGCGTCCTGAGCGTTCGTCATCTTTCACATCTTCTAGGCCTTCCCGAAACATTTTCAATCACTTGTTGATGGCTGGTTCCTTCAGAGAATTTTCTCCGTAGACTGCAAACACTGAAAAATTTCACGACCATTCTTGCCTAGCTTTGCAAGAAACTTGATGTTGATGCGCTGTTCCTCGATCAGAGAGAGCTCCATGCCGACGGCAGGTAAAAAAAGTTACTCGCGACAAGCCCACTTAAATCCTACTTACTCGCAGAGCGCTCCGGCTCGAACTGAGCATAGAGGGAAGATGGGTTTCCATAGAGAGAGGGCCACCCCTCCACAACGCCTTGACACGACGCCCCAAATTTTTTATATGTATCTCCCGGACAAACCTCGTATAGTTCATTTCACGGTTTTTGGCGGGTCACACTGAAACTACCGAAATCACACTCACATATACTTAATAATTGTTTTAAGGCATTCCAAGTACCTTTAATGCCGCTATTACTAACGTAAGTCAAGAAATTTTCTTTTTCACGCCTAGTAGCAGCCAAAGTATAGTTCCTCAACTACTTATATCTAGCGAAGTGATTCTCCTGTTTGCTTCTTCTGAATTTTTGCAAGGCCCCATCGCTCTCCTCTTGCAATAGCCTAAGATTGTTGGAAAGCCAAGGTGCGGGTTACTTAGTTACTCTCTTCTCAGTCCTAGGTTCATGGACATCGAACACAGATAATATGAAAGATGTGAACATATCTATTTTAGCATCAATGTCTTCGGTTCTGATTAATTCAAACCATGATAGTCCAGTTAACTCCGTCAGAAAAATGTCGAAATTTAAATGTTCAAAATGACGGTATTAAACTATTTTCACATGATTATTGTTAATAGGAAAGCAGATTTCCATAAAAACCCGGCCGCTGAACAATGTCGACATCAGATAAAAAAATGCATCAATTAACGTGCTTGAAGTATTCGATATCCTAGAGGGAGCGTTTATTATCTGCGTGAAGCCAAAAGATTCGAAAGATCTTGACAGCGGATTATCCAAATTAAACAGATTAACATGAGCATGCAGTAAAGTCAACGGTATGAATCACTAAAGATAGAATGTTTTCAATGTCATCAATTACTTGAGTAATATTGGCAGTAGGAGGTCTATAGAAAACTCCAAGAGCACGAGTGTAAGTTTTATACTTTAACTGAAGTAATAAATACTCACGGCTACTGTACGGAGAGTAACCCACATCAGTGACAGCGCACAATAAATCAGCCTTAACATAGGCCCCAACTCCTCCACCTCTGCCAATAGGATCTTTGCGAAAGAGAGTATAACCAGGTCTGTTGATCACAGTAGAATCAAAGTTGCAATCTAGCCAGGTTTCAGACATTAACATAACGTCATAGTCGTTATGTGGAATAATTTGCTTGAGCTCAGTAAAATTAGAGAAAATAGATCGTACATTTAAATGTGCAATTTTCATACAGACTGAAGTTAAAAGCTAAATAAACAAATCGAAAAAAAGCGAGTAAGCAGTACCTACTACCTGGGTCGCTAGTACAGAAAAAGATGTTTAAAGGTATACCAAAAACATAAAATTATCGTAGATTAAAAAATAATAGGTTGGAACAAGATTCAGCCATTTCTGGAGCTCACAATGTTGAAAAAAGATTAAGCAGTTATCGGACGTTAAACGTAAGTTTGGGAAGACTAAGATAAACGTTTTACATTAAGACTAACTTATGGCATATAAGTAATCAAAGAAAAGCTAAATTTTGTCAATGTCATCTTGCGATGTAATTGATATTCTTTTGTTGTCTTTCAGAACATAAACCGTACCTAAATATGACCAAACACTTCTCAGTGACGTTTTCTCGATCGCTGCTTCCATTAGTTTGAGCCGGTTTTCAGTTAGATCTTCATTTATAGATACGTTAGGGTCTTTTAGCAATTTTTTCTTATTGTAGATATTTTGTTTCATCACAAAACCATTCAGCTTAAGTATGATACCTGTTGGTTTGCCACCTCGTTTTTTCCCCAAGCGCCTGCACTCTAAGATACCTTCTTGCTTGATGTTAATTCCCATACGAGAGCTAACCATGTTGATGACCTCTTCAAATAAGTTCTCTGAATATTTTTCTACTAAGTTGAATATTCTGAGGTTATTCATCGTAGCTCCTTGATCTAGCGATTCTATTTTCTGCATAAGCTGTTCGTTTTCAGATCTCAAGATAGACGTTTCTTCTTTAAGGTCGTTGACTACCGTACTATTGAACGAAATTACATATATCCTCAAGTTTCTTCTCTAGTACGGCAATGATAGAGACTAAAGATGTGTACTGTGAATAATTTCCACAAACTAACTGTTAACTTGTTGCGCGATTTTTTCCTTCGAAGGTTGAGCACCCAAAAACACGTCTACTCTGTCTCGACTCTAGACATGCTATGACATGACGTTGTTTATGAGTGATGAAGCACATTTTCATTTACATGGATACGTCAATAAACAAAATTGTCGATATTGGTCTCCAGTGAACAACAGTTGCATGAGCACCCCCTGCATACCCCGAAAATTACTCTTTGGTGTGCAGAAGGCCCAACGATGATTATTGGCCCTTATTTTTTTGAGGATGATGGAGAGACAACTGCTGTGCATTCAGAGCGTTACATCCACATGCTGAACAACTTTTTTTTTCGGAACTTCGACGTCGACGTGTCCGTCTCAGAACATTGTGGTTCCAACAAGACGGGGCAACATCTCACACAGCTCGCACTTCGATGGAACTTCTTCGGCAAAAACTGCCAGGACATCTCATTTCACGTCATGGTGATATTCCATGCCCCCCTCGCTCCCCGGACCTGTCTACGTGTGATTTTTTTATGGGGCTACCTGTTATCAAAAATTTTCCAAAGCAAGCCTCGGACCCTCGTCGATTTGTAGGAGGAAATAAGAAGAGAGGTATACCAAATTCCTGCACGGATGCTGGCCGTCGCAATGGGCTCGATTCGGGAGAGGCTTGATTCCTGCATTTCGGCTCAAGCACGCCATACGGCCAACATAATTTTTAAAACGTGAATTTTGTTTTACCCCAAAAATGGCATGTATTTCTGAGTATTTTGGATATAATAAAATATTTTTCCCGTACTTATTTTGACTGTACTACTCATTTAAAAAACATGCGTTCTTTCTGACGGATCCTGTATAAAAATTGACCATCGAAATTTTAGTTTTATTTTTACTTGATCTCTTACACTTGGTACTGGCAAATCGGCCACCTATCCAACTTAGCAGAGATGCAGCCGCTGAAAGTACATATAAACGCCATCCGGTGCCCCACGTTTTCTCTTTAGAAAATAAGTAATGTCGGGCTGAGCTCGGATCTTACCCTATCACCGAATGAATCAGTCACAAGAGTGTAATTCTTATTCCACATACCCATAGAAACCTATCAGCGTCTGACGTAAGTCTCTTCTCTGTCTCCATGGCAGAAGAATGATCAGATTCTAAGGATGAGGCATGGAAAATATTATTATTTCGTGCACCTTTGTTGCGAAGTCTTATATCTGAACCTTGGAGGGCAAGCTTTGTTACTTTTCATTTATAGAAAAAATGAGAACACTATTAAATAGCCAAACCTCCAAAACACCTGGCAGCTATGCATTTTTTTAAAAGAAGATGTCTACAAAAGTTTCTGGAGATTAAAAAAGGGATCTATTGGTGGTCTCTAATACGACTTGATAATGATCTCAGCCATGATTTGGAGGTCAACATCGTAATTTCAAATAACAACTCCAATTTTATTGCAGATTCGTAATTAGCAGGAAATTCACATAGGAATCAATTTTCATGCGTGAGGTCAGGTGATTATAAATGGTCAAACCGGTATATTCGGCTGTAACGTCTGTAAAGTTCACACCCTGGAAATTTGGCATTCAATTTTTTGATAAAAGGTTCCTAAAACACCTGATTTAGAAGGGGAGATGCCTACAATCTACAACAATCCAATAAATTCAGATTAACTTCTAATAACCAATCATTATCAGTTTCTTTCTTTGGAAAAAGTGGCATATTCTTAGCATGCATAAATTAGTTTCAGAAGTGGGATATTTTTTGCTTCCCTCACTTATTAAGCATTCATAGTAGTTGATACTTAAAATCAGACGAACATATTAGCTGTATTTGGAACTTGTCTGTAATAAATGCCCTTACATAAGATATGTATATCACTTTATTCTCAAGTATTTATTTCACAACATTGATTTACACACAATACCCTACCAGACACCTCTCGTTGCATATGTCCCTGAAGTAAGATGCTGAAGATTTTGGCGTCCTTGTCAAGTTGGGACTTTTGAAATCTACGTGGTACATTCCTGTTCTTGACCTGGAAATATAAAATATAATTTTATTACATAGCTTCGCTAGTCTCTAATGTTGAAGCTACTACGACCAACCCACAGAATGAGAAGAAATTTCAAAAGCAGTAAGACTTGAAGAACTCGAAATGTGTAAGTGCCTCAGAACTTATCGTTGTCGCAAACGGGAGGCAATAATTAATACTAACATCCATAAATGTCGGAACTACAGAATAGTATGGTACCATGCTGGAAAATTGGAGCTTACCGATATCCTGCAGTCCATTCCCAACCGTCTATGAAACTTTTTGCCATGTATCCTACTAAACGAACGTTATCTTCATAGATGGCGTCCAAACATGCACTTAAGTGATCCTATGGGAACACATAAATTCTTCTAAATGTTTAGCTGATAATATGTCGGTATGTAATGTAATGTTAGTTCGTGCTTCACTATAGGCTTGCTTGGTATGCTGATAAGACTTAGGCTATAGTTGAAAGATGCATGTCCTCACTAAGGCGATGTGTAATTAGATATCATGTAATGAAAATGTAGCAATATAACTTAGACAAACTTACTCTAATGTAGTGGATCCTGATATTATCCCGAATAGCTTTAGTGTTTTCCGTGAGACCGTTTGCGGTGACGACAATTTCGTGATCCCCGTATGTTTCTTTCAACCAGTTTAGTACTTTCCTCAATCCCTTGGGCCAGATCTGCAGAAAAATAACAATGGATATAACAAAATCTTAGAGATATTTAGATGGATATATATGCAGGTTGTCCAGAAATTGAAAGATAATCCTGAGTATACAGCTACAGATAGGCCACATCATGACCTACTAAACATTTTTTTCAGAAAGTCTTCTAGTGTTTAGATATAAAGTATCCATTTCTTTGGTGAAAAAAAAACTGTCTTGCATTCAGAATGTGCAATAAAGTACTCAAATTCATAAACACAATCTTAGCTACTACAAGCTCTTACCGAGAACCAATCTGGTCCACCTTTGGGCCACGCAGGGTAGATCTACTCGATGATGTTCATGTCATCGTAGAAGCTACGTCTGTCAAACGGGGCTTCCCCGGTTGCGTTTGCCATGTGGGTGGCATAGTAGTTGATGGTGAGGTAGTCACTGGTGCCTTTGATCAGCTTCTTCTCTTCAGGGGTGAACTCAGGAAGGCGGGAAACTTCGAGACCCTCGCCGTAACTGCGCAGTGCCACTCTGTCCTTGACTATTTCGGGCCAGTCGCCGTAGTAGATTGGGTGACCGTACAAACCGTACTGTGGGAGAAAATAGGAGTTATGTCCTTTTTCAGCAGTGTTTTGTGAGGAAATTAGCAACATAGGAGTAGTTTATATGTGATGTTGGATCCTTTGGCGTAGCGACTCTACCTACCGTAGAATTTTATCACTCGCCAAACAGGTTTTTATATTCTACAGTAATGGAGAGAAGATATTGTGGAATCCTAAAAAATTTCGAAAATAAAATATCTTTTTTGGATGTGATATGACATATCCATCACGGAAAATCATTTCACGCATTTCAGTGGTTCGGTCTGAATGTCCGCTTATTGGGGGTTGTATATGGTGGAGGAGGATATCTATCAAATTTTTCATATATTTATACGCTCCCGGTAATTCTAAGAGCCTATTAGAGATAAAATTTGTCATACATCATTGTCTGTCCCCTACATTTGCCCTTAAACCTTGAATGATAGAGAAATGTTTTCGATACGCGACCCTGCTTCTGCTCTCTGGCAGACGTGCCGATCTCTATTAGTGCCGCGTCGTGCGGTCAGGTATGGGCAAAATGCGGCGTTGCCAGATGGATGGTATTACCGGTAGGGCGAGGAAAGTATGTCTATGGACTAATTGTATAGGTCTGTTTGACTAAATTGATCCGTTTAATTCCCCTGTTATACAATCATATTCTTAACTAACTTTTTTTCTCGCTTTTCTCTAACTTATGCTTTATAAACTTGTGACGGTGTTGCGTGAAAAGTGCACAGTCAACCTACGTGACACAATTTTTTAGTTCCCGACGCGGGTTTCGATAGCATCCGCAGGGGACATTTAAACTTGAATTTGGAAATGTAAAAGATTAAGATGACAACTCACCATGAAAAGTCTAGCTCTCTCGGCTGCAGCAACATCGTCTGGACTCTGACTGCCTGGTTCGAACCAAGGGGTGTCGATAACCATAGCTACCTTCCCTGCCAATATAAATAATATATTAATTCTGATTGAATTAGTATTTCTAGTGATATAAATGAAGGGTGTTCCAGAATTCACCCAAGATTTGAATTCAATAGAAAACATCGTTCTTCTCGCAATTTCTGCCTAGATTGGACAGTACTAATGTGGATAATGCTTGACCTGTCTGTGGGCTTCTTTCTGCCTAAGTTGGGTGATTGGTATGGATAACGTGCGATTTCAACAAAACTGTCTCATCCCGTATGGCCCGTCAAACAACACATTTACTGCATGTAACATTTCTGGTCTTGTACTCTGTTGCTCCTTGAAAGAGGAAATTGAACGTTTTCCCAACGAAATTCAGCTACATTCATACAAAATCGTCTTGAACCAGTGGCGGACTTAAGAGAAAAGGTCCGGTCTGAAATCTACTAAAGGGGCCAAGGGCGGATTTTGAGAGCGCGTCCTCCCCTTAAGCCGCCCAAGTCTACCATTTGTCAGGAAAGTGGTGCACATTGGTGTAGCATGCTTCTGAAATTGCCTTGGTAAACCTGAATATGGAGACGTGCGCCAACCCTAGATGTATCCCACCCTCCCTCTCATTAGTTATCACAAGGGCAATCACTCTCAGAAGCGCTGCGCCTTCAATTTCCAAACCCCAGCAACAAATCATTAGCCTTTCTTTGAACTTTCAAATGCGGAAGAGTATAATTCATAGTTATATCTTGTCATGAAAAAAAAATGTTTGTACTGGTGTCAAAACTAAAATTCCACGACCTGATGGCTTGGCGGGTCAGATCTCGGATTGGGATGAACAATTTTCTGAGGAGAGTACCTACCTATAGAAGCATGAACTTTGTGAAATTCAAGGTCGGAAAAAATGCGAATTTTAATAACATTGGACAACAAATTTTAATTTTTTATTTGTATCTTGTGGGAAAAGTGCACTTCTTTGTTAATTTTGGGGCGCTGAATCCAAAAATGACAATGAAATAAAAAAATTAGTTGCGGATTAGAAAAAAAAACTTTTTATTTTTAAGGATATATTAAAAAAAGTAACAAGATTCATATACTTATAAGAATCACTATATGCGCTGTCTTTTTGCTGTTCTTTTATGGATCGTTTCTGGAGCATCTCTACCAAGAGTCCAACAGTAGTCTGCAAGCATAGAAGGATTCCACTTTCCCTGGTACCTTTGTTCCATTGTTGAAATATCCTGATGAAAACGTTCGCCGTGCTCATCACTTACGGCTCCGCAATTGTCAGGAAAAAGTCCAGGTGTGAGTGTAGGAAATGTATCTTAAGAGACATATTACAGCCCATCTTTTGATTCGATGACAGCATATTTTTGACAAGGGTTTTATAGTTGTCAGCTTTTCTATTTCCCAAGAAATTAGTGACCACCAGACGGAAATCATTCCAAGCAGTTTTTTCAATACCTGTTAAAGTGTTTTCAAACTGTGTATCTTTCAAAATATTCCGAATCTGTGGCCCAACAAAAATACCTTCTTTAACCTTTGCCTTTGTCTTGGAAATTTCTGCCGCAGGTATTGAAAAGCTGACCCATCTCTATCTAATGACAAAGTTTTTCATTAGGCCCAACTTGATATGCAGTGGTGGTAATAAAATTTTTCTCGAATCTACTAATGGCATATGCTGTGCATTTTTTTGACCTTGCTCTAGGAATTGACGAACAGGCCAGTTTTGTCTGGTGTAATGAAGTGCCTTTGCCCGACTGTCCCATTCACACAAAAAACAGCAAAACTTTGTGTAGCCTAGCTTCAGCCCAAGTAAAAGTGCAACAACTTTCAAATCGCCACAAATATGCCATTGGTGCTCATCGTATTTTATGCATGTCAATAGGTACTTCATATTGTCATATGATTCTTTCATGTGAACTGCATACCCTACAGGAAGAGATGGTAAAATATTTCCAATATGCAATAACACTGCCTTTAAACTCAATGTTGAACTGTCTATAAACAATCTCCATTCTTCCGGGTTATAGTTTATATTTAAGGCCGCCAGTAAGCCGTTATTGTTACTGAAGAAAACCAAGTTATTCTCCATATTGAAAAATGGTTCTGTCTTTGTGGCGTTTACGAAAAACACATACCGAAACATCGTCTTCTAACAAGTTACACTGCTGCAGTCTTGATCCAAGTAACTCTGCCTTACATTTTGGAAGTTCTAAATCTCTTACAAGATCATTTAATTCTGACTGTGTTATTTTGTGCGGTTGGTGGCATGACGTGCTCGGTATAAAATCAGGATCTCTTGACGTTGATGGTATATCTTCTTCCTGACGAATCACTCGGATCTGATTCGTTTTCTGATTCGCAAGTGCAGGATTCTGGGGGTTTTGGAATAGGATTTTCGTCACTGTGAGGCACAGGTCTCATCACAGATGATATGTTTGGGTAGTTAATAACCGATTTTTTTTTCTTGGACATACCTGTGGCTTGTCCAACACAAGGTACCATGCAAAAATAACAATCATTAATATGATTTGTAGGTTCTCTCCAAACCATTGGGACAGCAAGGCGCATAGACCGTCTTTTGCCATTTAACCAGCTTCTCAGACTTCAAGCGTATGTATTACAGCAGATGTGGGGTGCCCACTGTTTGTCTTGTTCACCTAGCTTACAACCGAAATAAAGCTGAGATGCCTTTGTTATTAGTGGAGTAATAGACCGTCTATGAGACGCAAAAGTCACATCACCACACACGTAACAAAACTGATCTGGATTGTTTACGCACTTTCGAGACATCTTGCATGAACGCTGTCAGCCAACTGAGGAAAAAATGGCTAATATAAAACAATAAAATGTACACGTATGTATAACGTAGCACAATCATGCCGATTACATCATCTTTCCTTGCCGACTATAAAAATGTAGCACGTGCATTCTTGTGAATTACAGTATATTAACACAGTCACAGCAGGAACACATATAATTACCGTATCTCTAAAACTTGAACTAATATTGAAAAAATAAGTTTCATTCCGGTTTTAGCACATTAAAAATAGTAATATTTTGTTGATTTTATTTAGGATATTTTTTGGCTGTTGATCAGTGAAATAAAAGATATATTATTATTCAGAAGTAAAATTTCAGTCAAAAGTGACTTTTCCGAAATTTTTTACTAGTTTATTGGGCTGACAATTCGAATGTCTTCCGGAATAAAGATGCGCATAATTAAGTTTTTTCGTAAAGAAGATGGAGCAGCCTATCCCTTGTGCACCAAATGGAACTTTGTGCTCCGGCCTTTAAATTATGGATATTTTGAACCAAAATTGGCCATTTTCATGATACTGGGGGGCAGGTGATGTCTCATATTGGCTTCTAGGTCAAACAGTTCGCTCTGGAAACGCGTTCAAAGTTTCAACATTAGGGAACCAATTGAAATTTAGCCTTTCTACAATATTTCTCGTTACTCCTGTGATTGGAAAACGTTAGCTCCACAATGTGTGACTATTCCAAAATAGTATTGTAGACAGAATTAAACAATGACCTTTCAAATTGTGACAATATAATTCGTTATTTCAGTGTTTTAATCTTTCATTGTTTTATTGGGTTGAAAATTCGAATGTCTTTCGGAACAAAAAGTCCACAAAATAATGTTTCCAAGTAAAGGAGAAGGATCAACCTATAGTTCTATAGGAGTTCATTCTTATTCCCGAACCTCTAAATTAGTCGAAAAGGCAGCTAGACCCAGTTTTCAATCTCTTGGCCCAAAATTTACTATATTCGCAATGCTATAAGGGGTGTATATGTAGATGTTATTGGAAATTGAACTAATCAAAGAGGTCTATGTTACAAATAATTCAACACAATGCTTAATGTTAATTGAACACAGCACTTTTTAAGAGACCTTTGCAAAAAATTATAGTGCAGTAAAAGGAAGCGATCTCAGAAATGGTCGAGGGCCACTGTGTATGGCCAGCAAAGTTGAGAAGGCCATTTGCCTGGCATGCTCATCCATGATGCATAAAGCTATTCTGTGTACTTTGTGATTCAGTAACAAATGACAATCCAAAAAAGCTCTGTTACCTGTTTAATTTAAATCATACGTGAACTTTGAATGAAAAAACTTAGGCATTTATAATTTGTTACACTTTTTTTTATTCCTTACCTTTGTTTGTTGCTCTAAATTCTTCGTCATAGATTCGGTAGGCCTTAGCATGGGCCAACAAGACATTCTTAGCACAGATGTAGTTACCTACACCAGGTTTCACAATTCCAGGGGCAAAACCACCTCCACCATATCCTGCTTCACATACCTTCAAAAAAAGTTAAAGGTAAAGAGCATTAAAAACTCATTCACGCCCCGTTAACCCAAACACCAGCTCGCAACGTTCAACGTGCTAATGTTTCTGTTGAAGCGGAATAAATGAGGTTTGAATACATCTTAGTATTAGTTTTGAATAAAATATTATGTTGACATTTGTATGAACAATTAAGTTATTATTTTAATACATCTGTTGGGGCACTGAAAGGGGGTTGCCCAATCCCGAAACTGGCATCAGTTCCAACTATATTGATGAATGAATAAAATCCTGTAGGATAGGCACCTTATTTAGCCCAAACAATTCATTTAGAAAAGCTCAAACAGCAAATAATTAGGAAACGACTCTCAATTTCTTGCTTCCCAGAATCCCGGTAAATTACCTGTTTTGGTTCGTTGATAGTGATCCACCATTTGACTTCATCTCCAAAAAGTTTGTAGCAAAGTCTGTAAAGCAATATTTTGGTTGTTATTTAGGTATGTAGGGCGGTAAAGAACGGGCGGTCAGGACCAGCGGAGTAAAATTACAGCCCAAGGTGTGAAGCGTCTCGGGCTCTAAAATGCCAACATCTACGATAGGCTAAAATCGAAAATGTAATGTAATGATTCATGTAACTAAGAAAATATCTAATAGCCCGAAAATGAGCAAGGTATATAAATTCTGCAACAAAATAAAACCATAAAAAATTATAAAAAATAGCAGGCATTCACATCAATTCGAGAAATCTGTATAAATTATTTCTAAATAAAGAAAAATAGTAAGAATTGTGAAGCAAAATTCCTTTGTCGAATTTTCGAACTCTTGCATCAAAGATTGATCGCCAATTATTAAACTTGCGAGATCAGCGGATTCACATGTTGGATGTGCGGGATCCCGTTTTGTAGTATTGCAAACTTTCGTCCTAAGCCCCGCTGCGCGGCCAAGCCTAGGTTTGACGGGCAGATTTTGGAGTGACCAGCATTGCTGGCCAAGGTCTGATACGAATTACTCACCTAGCATACTCGGCGAATAAGTCAGCTGCCTTAGGACTCAGCCAGCCGCCAAAGTCGTCTTGCAGTTGGTCAGGAAGGTCCCAGTGGTAGAGAGTTACCATTGGTTCAATACCCTTCTTAATCAGTGCTTTCAGGATGGTTTTGTAATATGTTACACCCCTTTCATTGATGCTGTCCGTGCCATTGTAGTACCCGGTTGGGAGGATCCTGGCCCAAGCTAATGGAGAAAATAAAAAAATACCGAAAAGTTTTAGACAATCGAAAAGTTCACTGATATATTTTCAATGAAAAGGTCATTTAAACTCATTCACTTTACAGCGTAATTACTGGGATACAGAGTGTTCAATTTCATTTGTTGTTGTTGATTTATGTATTTTCATTTGTTTCTTTGATTGATTTAGATGAGACACTGAACCTGTGGTAGAAGGTAAGAAACTTAATCTGTATCGGTTATATCTATCTCAATTATCCCAGGGACGGCACTAACAGGGTATTCTGGGGTTTCACTAAGCACGCCTCTGTTTTTTTTTTCGGTGGGATCAAAGGAGATGAACCAAAATTTTTGATGGACATCGAAAAACGCCAACCGAAATTAACACAATCCTAAGTATAGTTTGGTTTTATATTTTATTACAGGTGACGAAATCGGAGATTGGCTGAATAAAAGCAGAACCTTTTATTGGTAAGTGCTAATAATAATATTATAATCATCGGCGTTGCTAAAGGGTATATACATCAATATTTCTTGTATTTTTTAGTGCTCAGTTCCAAAGGGTCAAATTTTATACCTAACACAACATTGCAAAGCATTGAAGGCAAACCAAGATGTTTGAGAGATACCGAAAAGGGCCAACCAAAACTTTAACTTTGAATCTCCTTTCATTTTGAATCTAAAAGTTCTCAAAAAGTATCTTCATTTTCGCGTTCAGTTCATGGTATTGTAACGCCCTCGTATAACTGGAACTCTAAGTACGAGCGATACACCCTCGTACGTCGAGCAGAAGGTTCGACGGGTGTCCAGAAACATCGACGCTTAGGCAACCAGATTTACGCTGCCGTGCATGAGCGAAGTTTCGATCGGCATCAGGAGCATTCGAGAAATATCGATAGCCATCTCGACACCTTCGATAGAGCGCGCGAATGTTCTGGAGTTCGTTGAATTCAAAATTAGTTCCCAGGCGTTCCAAGCAGAGGGAGAGCCAATGGAAAGCGTCCGATTAATCAACAGAGTCCAGTCGAAATGGTTATAAGTTTGTCATAAATTAGTTGAAAGTGTTGTGATAAATTAGTGTAAGAGTAGTAAATTAGGCTTTCAACATCAAGAACGGTGTTTTCGTTACAGTATTTTTACCTTAGAAAATCACGAATTAAGCCAGAATTGTTCGTATACTGTAGTTAACAAATATTTACATTCGTGTCTGCATCCCTGTTTATTAATAATAACTGAGCGATTCACAACGCAACATGATTAGTAATCACCTACTGTAACTGAGTACATCCAACACGATTGGCTAGTTGGATACCCTTTCCAGAAAAAATAATAAACGCTGATACTCTCGTAGGTAGTGCTAGGCAAATTTTCCAAAAATTTTAATTTTGGCGACAAACACGTAAGCGTATAGACTTGGCCCGTTTTAACCTATGCGGATTCGTTGATGGTGACCGTCCCATATTCCAAGATGCCCATCGGATTTTAAGCCTAAGCTTTTTCTGGCGATTCGAGCATAGAATCTTGTTCCGTAGTTTTAGGTAAGATTGAAAAAATACTCTTACCAATTGAAAGGCTATAGAATTGCGAATTCAGTCCTTTGATTATAGCTAAATCCTCTCTCCACTTATTATAGGAATTGCAAGCGGCTTCGGGAGTTGACCTGTCAATGATCAAATTGGCGTGTGACATAGCAAATGTGTCCCAGATTGTAACTCCTTTGCTTCCCTGATTCCATCCTCCTTCAATTTGTGGAGCGGCACTTGCCACTCCAATTTTTAAAGAGTCTGGGAAAAATCGATTGTTGATTTCTTGACCAATGCTAGAAGTAAATAATGGTCTTGCTAAGAAGTTCTTTTTTTTTTCAAGATTTAAAATGCTTTGTGAAGCGAAATCAAACTATAAAAGAAAAACATAGCTCATTTTCATTTTTTGAAAAAAAAATTGATCCAGGCAGGTCACATACTAATCTGTAAGTTACTTCTAAAAGTAGTTGTAGTGTCGTGTAAATAATATTATTATTTACGTTCGTTTCCAGTCACACAATGATACACAGATATCTCGGTACGACCTTCTCCCGGCGGGTATGGTCGACCGACTGACTCGCTGATAAGACGGCAACTCCGTCTCCGTCGTTCACCCAGCGGGGGAATAGATCTTTTATTCATTCAATACATCCCTTCTTTGTTTACATTATTTTACATATATTGTAACAAATCAGTTATAACTACCCTATATTGTTTGAATGCATTTAACAAACTAAAGTACTACCTTATTAACTAACAATGACAACTTAATACCTAGCTGAAAATATATAATCTTATTTAATGGCCTGTGTGAAATATACAATGTTACGACTTAAGTATGGTGTTCATTATTTTGCTCAAGTGAAGTTTCCTCATCCCCTGCAGTGTTTATTACTTTCCATTGCCCCTCTGTCTTTTTTAAATGGACGACATTACGTCTGTATTGCTGGCCAGTTTCGTCGTTTTCTACTTGGACGTCACTACCATTTTTCTTTACCACCGTGTGAGGGGTTGAGTTGAAATTTGGTACCAACTTATTCTCCTTTACTGTATTTTTTACGTAAACTTTATCTCCTATTCGGATGTCATCCGCTTTTGCTTTTCTTTTGGCGTCGCTGTATTTCTTGCCCCAAAATTTGTTCATCAAATCATTGTCTCGAGTTTCTTCGTCTACGACAGAACTGTTCAAAGTTGGAATTGCTAGTATTTTGTCTCGGAATTGCCTCCTAAAGAAAAGTTCTGCTGGCGGTTTTCCTGCTGATGTATGTGGTGTTGCGTTATACATCATTAGGTAATCCAACAGGTCCTGCTTTCAGTCTGTTTTCTGTATTCGACTGATTTTGAGCCTTTTTAAAATGTCTCTATTCTGTCGCTCGACTTGTCCATTCTGCTGGGGCCAGTATGGTATCGTGTTATATACCTTAATTCCTGCATCCTTACAGAATTGTGTGATTTCCTCACAAATAACTTGCTTCCCATTATCTGCTGTAATCGAAACTGGGAAACCTAGCCTAGAGAAGATTTCTTTGTGGCAGCTAACTGTATTAGATGCTGTTATGGACTTCATAACTTTTATTTCTTTATAACGACCACAAATAGATAATGGCCACTCGGTAGAGGGCCTAGGAAGTCTACCGCCACGTCAATCCATGATTCTGTAGGTAGTTCATGTCGCTTCATTGGGGTGGGCGCATTTGGTATAGATACCAACGTACACCCTTTACAGGCTCTTACGAACTTCTCTGCATCTGTGTCCATTTTAGGCCACCAAACTTTAGTACGTAAACGGTTCTTCATTCCCACTATTCCGGGATGGCCTTCGTGGGCTGCTTGAAGAACTGCAAGTCTTAAATCAGCAGGAATCACTATTCTGGTTCCTCTCAGAAGGATGTTGTCATAGAAACACAACTCTGGTATGAATGCTTGGAAGGGTTTCGTTTTTTCATCGAATTCGTTCGAGTTAATCATTTTGTAAACCTTGCGAATTTCTTCGTCGGTGTTGGATTTTTTTTTGATTTGTGATAATGATAATGCCATGGGTCGTGAATATTCTACAATTTGATGGATAGCCTGGAGAGGGGATCGGCAATATTGCTTTTACCTGGACGATAAACTATATAACTACAAAGTTGTACGACTGTAGCCTCAAAACCCAACGCTCTATTCGGGAACATGGTTTTGATTTTATACTAAAAATTACTTCGAGCGGTTTATGATCTGTAACCAACTCGAACTTGTCCTTTCCATTTAGATATACTTCGAAGTTGAGTCATTTATTTTAACAGTGAGTAGATCTGATCAAAAGAAATGTTTTTTTCCTTTACCATTTTTCTGGTGAAATTAAAGTAACAAAGTTATAGCCCTTTGGAAGTTTGAGTACCGCCCTGTCTCAATAATAATATTATGTGCTCGTGTTTGGCAACAACGGATATAATCCGCCTTATCGGTTCATCGCATCGGAAACAAAAAAGCGAAAGAATTTCGAACGATGTTTTTACAATTATTTTATTCAGTTGTATACAGTCAGTGTCAGTCGGTAACGCGTGAGTGAATAGTGGTGTCTGTTGCGTGGCTCAAACGAAATCAAAAATGGCACATGTTTACGAAAATGCTGAACTTGTGGACATGATTCTTATTTACGCGGCATCACGGATTTATGTGGATCGGTTTCTCAATCGAGTGCAACCAACCCCTCGTGCCTTTGTTAATGTAGTACAAAGGGCTCGTGAATCAGGTGACTTAAGACCTCACAGGGGAGGGCATGCCGGTGCTCCAAGACCGCACGATCAAATACAGGTCTGCACTGAAATACTTGTCGGGAGGATACTTTATAAAACAAGGTAACATTTTTTTTTATTTTTTTTTATTTTTACACACATATTTTGGTTTATCTTCCTTCTACAATCATTATCTGAAAATTAATGACTCAACTTCATGGAAATGTTTAACTGCCCAGACCAATGCCAGGGCTTCTTTCTCTGTTTGACAATATCTTTTTTCACAGTCAGACAAGCTTTTATTCCCATAAGCAATTACCCTTGGCCCTTCTGAATCGTACTGTATTAGGACAGCCCCCAGCCCTACAGGACTTGCATCGGCTATAACCTGAGTCCTGTCTTTAGAGTCATAGTATCCTAACGATTTAATTTTACACAAGCATTCTTTCAACAGGTTAAAACTGCACTTTTGTTCATCCTTAAAATACTTGGATATATTTGCATGTTTTGCTAACTTTAGTCGCAATAATTTCCTTAGAGGCTCTGTCATAGACGCTAAATTAGCGATCCATTTACCTATATAATTAACAAGTCCTAGAAAACTCTGCAACTCGTCCACAGTTTCCGGGCATCGGAAAGTTTTGATTACCGATATGTATTTATCAAGCGGCTTGATGCCTTGTCTTGATAGTTCGTGTCCCAGAAATTCTATGACAGCAATATGGTAAACACATTTATTCTCATTGAGAAGGACATTGTTTTCTTTCAAAATATTGAGTGTAAATTTCAATCTTCTATTATGTTCCAGTTCGTTTTCGCCTTATACGACTATGTCGTCTATAAAATTTACAGTTCCTTCGCAGTGAGTCAGAATGCGTTCCATTATTTTTTGGAAAATTTCTGGGGCACACGAAATACCAAACATTAAACGCTTATATCTGAAAAGACCTTTGCTAGATATAAATGTAGTAATAGGTCTCGATGCTTCGCTAATTTCGATTTGATGGAAAGCATTTTTTACGTGCAGCCTTGAAAAAAGTCCTGCCTTTCTGAAGTTTGGCATCATCTGATCCATTGTTGGTAATGGATGATTTTCTCTTAGTATCGCCATATTTGCTCTTCTCATATCGATACAAAGTCTAACTTCCCCATCTGGTTTTAGAATAGGTACCATAGGTGATGCCCATCTGGAAGGGCCATCTACTGGTTCAATTATGTCTGAATTCACCATTTCCTCAATTTTTTTAAGCACTCTGGTTTCCAGGGGGATTGGTATCCTGCGATATGGTTGAATCACTGGTTTTATGCTCTGATCAATGGGAATATCGACTACAACATTTTTAAACTTGGGAAAAGCAGATATGGCATTAACCTCTGATTGAGCAGAAATTCCAATCCGTAGGACACCTAAAGACTTCGCTGTATCTTTTCCTAAAAGGTTTCTCGTACCATTTTGTACTACGTAAAAAGTCGTCCGAGTTACAGACTCGCTCACCTTAATCTCAGCATCAAAACACCCAAGAATAGTTAACGGTTCTTTGTAGCCGCATTTCTTGCAAATTTTCTCTCTTGCTGGACAGTTAAAAGAAATGTGGCCTTTTGAGCCACAACGAAAACATGATTTTATCTCTGAGGCTCTAAATTTTTTTAGTATTATCGTTTATTTGGTTCACTTCAAAGCCTGTTTTCTTTTCAGCAAATTCTTCCATTTGTCTTGATACTGCTTCCAATGCATTTGCTTCAGCAACAATGTTTTCTAATGAGATGGAGTCTCCGATTGTTAATATTTTCTTCCGAAGGTCAGATGAGCTGCATTTTTCAACGATTTGGTCTATAATGTTTTCTTCGGTGTTGCTAAATACGCATTTCTCTGCCTGATTTCTCAGCCGCACAGGGAATTTTTCGAACTTTTCATTTATCTCCTGTTTTATTAGCCGAAAAGCATGTCTTTCGTACACCTTGCTTTGTTTTGGTGCGAAATATTCATCTAGCTTTCTTATACTATCTCGTAGACATTCACTGGATTTTCAACGTCTTCGGTTTGTTCAGAGATATGAGCTCCAGGTAGGTTGTAATATATTTCTTGTAACCCTAGCCCACCGATGTGTAGCAAATTTGCTCTCTTCTTAGCGGGGCTGTCGATGTTAGCTGCTTCTAGATACACTTCTAGTGCTCGTTTCCACTTTTGCCATCTGACAGCTACCGAGCAAACTTGTCCATCACAGTGAAAAGGCTCCAACGAGTTTAATGTTGACATGATGATCTGAAATTAAATGTAATTGCTACTTTTGTGTAAACAAAACTCACATTGTATGCATATACATTTTAGGATCGATGGATCTTATAAGTCAAATTCATTCTTTGTTCATATACATATGTGTCATATTCAGCAAAGCTACGCAGTGTTATGTATCATATTCATATTCATGCCTTGATGTATCTTATTCATCAAAGTACCCCAACACATACATATACATTCAACGTTCGATGTGTCCTATTCATCGAGGTCGTTCGTCTTGACTTTGGTGTTTCTTATTCACCAGTTATACAGTGTTTTGTATCATATTCATAATCACTGATTTGATGTATCTGATCCATCAAAATTATACTTTATGCAACCTATGTATCACATTCATGGTTACTTCTTCCATGTATCATATTCATGAAAGTTATTCTTTGTTTAGTGCTGTATCATATTCATAGATTATCAAAACAACTTTTTTTTTCACTCGCAGTTTATCTTTTCTGCCTTTTCGTGTTTTGACACTTAATCTTAAGTACCTTGATCAATACTTTAATTGAGAAGTAATGTACCCACATACCTTTTGTCCTCGTCGCCAATATGTAGTGTCGTGTAAATAATAGTATTATTTACGTTCGTTTCCAGTCACACAATGATACACAGATATCTCGGTACGACCTTCTCCCGGCGGGTGTGCTCGACTGACTGACTCGCTGATAAGACGGCAACTCCGTCTCCGTCGTTCACCCAGCGGGGGAATAGATCTTTTATTCATTCAATATACTACAGTAGTTACGCAATATGAAAGTATCATTCTTCAAAACAGTATATCTACAATTCTACATACTGTTTTCAGAAACAACTATGTTGTTGATTGCTTGATCAAGGCTAGAAGTTAATAATGGTTTTGCTAAGAACTATTTTTCTTCGATGAATTAAAATCCTTTTGTAGAGCGAAATCAAACGGAAAAAGAAACACATTTTCATTTTCAGTGGAAATATTGTTTCAGGCAGTTATTTGTAATTTACTACTAAAAGTAATTATGCATTACGAAGGCATCAATCTATCCTATGTCCTGACAGTTTCGTTTTCAGAAAACAACTTGGTTTGAAGTTTTTAATTAATTTTAATTTTTTAGTTAATTTGCGGTAAAACAGCACCAAAAACGTAAAAAATAAATTGTGTTAAGACCATGGCTCATTTTTTAATTGCTTAGAAAGAAAGCACTTGATTTTGTTTTAGGTATAGTAACATTATATCAAGGTGGTAGCCATAGTCTTTTTATGAATTCGGATTATTTGTGCATTTCTCAAATTTGGTCACGTTTCCCCTTGGTTACAATATTTGAAGTGACTATCGTCAGATTTCCCACCTATTTGCGTACAAGATTTGTCGATTTGCCGAAGAGGCTACGCGAGTGTATTCAGATCGTTTTCTTCGACAATTCCAACTTAAGCTGGGTGGTTATTGGAATTTCTTATCAAATCAACGGTACTTATTATTTTTTTCTTCTTGGTTGTTATTTTACCGCACATAGCTTCGTTATTTTAAACCAAGTTATTTTTGAAAAGGAAAATATCAGCTGTCAGAATACCCTGTATAATAGAAGATAATCGAAAAATGCTTACCTTGAGCCAAGCAAGCCTTGTAAGAATAACACCAACAGCACCTCTTGCAAACCTCCCATCGTTGATTATTGGCCGCAAATATTTCGACTGCCAACATTTATACTTCGAAAGTACTTGATAAGGACACTTGTTTAGATACTTATCTATTACTACTATTACTATGATAATTGGGATGAGCAGAGTACACAGTACTATAAGCTCATGCAGTAAATATTGTGTACGGACACGTAACACAAATACATCAAATAGAAAAAAATAAAAAAAGACAGGTCATAGCTATAAAGTTTGTACACTCCTCCAGCTATCATACTGCACTTTGAAGCTATTAACTGAAGTAGCACCAACCACACTTTCAGGTAAACTATTCCAGGTGTTGAATATGCGGTTGGGAAGAAACCACTGTCGGACTGTTGTTTTAAATGGCTCCTTATGCAGTTTGAAGCTGTGTCCGCGTAGATTGCTGCGCGACAGACGGTATAGATGCATGAGGTTGGTGCCCATCAAACCATGAAGTATCCTGAACGTAACTATAAGATCGCCACGAAGTCTTCGCTCAGAGAATGAGGTCAGGTTGAATAATTCAAGGCGATCTTCATAGCTTGGTCTTCGTGCTCCAAAAGGGATACGAGTAGCCCGACGCTGTACTGATTCGACGAGATTTCTATCGCGCAGAAGCACAGTGTCCCATACCGGGCCAGCGAATTCAAGAACTGGCCTCACGAATGCCTTGTAAATGTAGGCGCAAGTGTTGACATCGGATCCTTTGAAGGACCTCTCCAGCATGTATAGAAGTTTCTTGGCTTTTGATGTAACGTGGTGAATATGCTCTGACCAGGAAAGACGATCGTTGACTACAACGCCCAGATCAGTGTGGCTGGAAACTGCTTCGATGTTGTGGTCAGAGATCTTGTATGTAAATCGCGGATTTGTCTTCCCGAGGTGAAGGACACAATACTTAGTTAGATTTAAGGGTAAAAGCCAACTGACTGACCATTGACAAACAATATCAAGATCTCGTTGAAGCATACCAGAATTTACGACAGTATTGTAAATCTTGGTGTCGTCGGCATAAGCTGAACATGTGGAGGAAATCAATGCGGGCAGGTCACTTGTATATAGAAGGAACAGCACTGGCCCCAAGACAGAGCCTTGAGGAACTCCACTTGCTACATTATGAAGGTGAGACTGGCTATCACTGACGCGCACAGAGAAAGTCCTCCCGGTGAGAAAAGACTTAATCCACAGTAACAACTCGCCTCTTATTCCCATACATTCCAACTTAAACAGAAGCCTTCTATGTGGTACGCGATCGAAAGCCCTAGAAAAATCTAAGTAGATTATATCAACAGGAGTCTTTGTGTCCAGATACTGAGTCCAATCGTTGAGAGAGTGGAGAAGGTTGGTCATTATTGATCGACCAGGGAGAAATCCATGCTGATTCTTAGGGATAAGGTCATTTTCGAAAGCAAATGACAGGAGCTTATCTAATATGATTCTTTCAGCTATTTTGGCGGCGATAGGAACGAGACTTATTGGTCGATAATTTTTAGCGGAGGATTTGTCGCCCTTTTTGAATACAGGGGTAACAGAAGCACTAAGCCAGCATGAGGGTAGGGTATGAGATCTAAAAGACGATGTGAGTATCAAGCTTAATGGTAGGGCCAGTGCTGAAGCGCAGTTTTTAAGTACAGCAGCCGTCATCCCATCTTTACCAGGGGAGGAAGAGGTCTTCAGATTTCGTAGGTGCATTAATACATCTTCAGGCAGGAACTCAACTTCGCAAAGGCTGTTGGGACACCTATGGCAGATAGTGGTCGGTAGAAGGTCTCCATTAGGCTCATCGACGAAGTCATCACTAAAGGACTCTGCCAGTAAGTTGGCAGGTTCGGTGGCATCCATGTGGAGATAACCGTCAGCGTCGCGGATCTGAGGTGATGAAACTTTGGAATTCAGGTTTGTTCTTAGATGCCGAAACAGCTTCTTCTTATTTTTGGAGGTAACGAGTTTTCGTTCATAAGCATGTTTGGCATTATGTAACGTTCTAGATAGGAGGTTAGAAAAGGATCGATGAGACACGTAATCTTGTGAATGGCCACTCCTCCTAAACCGTTGCCACAAAGATATCTTGTGACGAAGCATCCTCAATATGTTAGAGGTGATCCAGGGCTTTGAGGGGTCACAGTATACCTTCTTTTCAACAGTATTGTCAGCCGTTTCGCTTAGGACTCGTTGAGCGAAAGTGTCCCACATATCTTGGATGCTACGGTTGTTAAGCAAAGCAGGCCAGTTGACTTCAGACAGGGCTTGGTTAAGAGCATCGTGGTTTACAATTTTGATGGTTTTAAACTTATCGGTTGTAGAACGACTATTTATATTGAACTGGAGAGAAGATAAAAGTGAACAGTGGTCAGACTTGCCAAAAGGTGGCAGATAATCTAAATTAGAAACAAAGTCGGCGTCGTTAACGAATATCAAATCCAGAGCCCTAGGCGTATGTCCTTCCCTGAATCTCGTTGGACGATCAACAAGTTGAGATATGCTAGAGTTGCGTAGCAAGTCGATGTAAGCAGCAGGAATGGTTGACATAGGCCAGCTAATGTCACGTAGATTGAAGTCACCAGCTATGAAAAGGTTGGTGTTTTTATTTAAGAGATCTGAAATGAGACTGCACAGGTGTGTGTCTCCCAAACAGGGCCGTGGCCGATATATGCAGCCTATCGTGAAGCTGAAATTTGGGCACCTCAATTCCAAAAATAGATTATCAATGCCATCGAAAGGACTGAAAGAGGGAGATACCGAGAAAGCCGACGCGATTTCCGTGCGACCACCAAAACCAGGAGTGTGTGGTGAATCCATTCTGTATAAATAGTATCCAGGCAAATTGATGGAAGAGTCGGATACGTTGGAATGGAGCCATGTTTCAGTAAGGCAAACGAACGTTGGATTATTGTCTCGAACAAATGCTTGGAGTTCAAGTAGCTTAGAAAAGAGAGATTGTATATTAGTGTAACAAACCGTCCAGTTTGCCACAGAATTTATCAGTTTTTAAAGGTGTGATCTCCTGGGTAGCTGTGTGTACTATACAAGGTTTACCACGAACATATTTTATAGTAATATTACTTTCGCCTGTTGTTTGACGACGTCTAAGCTCTTCGCGAAGGTGTTGTAGTTCTTGCATTTGACCTCTGGTTTTGTCGTCAGAGATTTTTACGTGACGAAGCGTGGGGTGGCTAAGGATGGAGTCTTTCTTCCGCAAAATATTGCTGACGATAATAGGTGAGGAAAACACAACTCTAATTAAACGATTGCTTGAAGTTGTTCTGCCAAGGCGAGAGATGCTGAGTCGGTGATTTTCGGCAGATGGTTCAATATGCCTAATTATCTCTGATACTATGTTTATGTCATCGTTCCCTTCAGCTATGCCCCTCAGAATGATATTGTGGGAACGTCTAAATAACTCCATTGTCTCAGCTTGGGAGCTTGGGGCAATAGGGGTAGAAGGAGCGCCGTTGCCTGAGTGCATCGTCTCCATAGATCTTGCAAGTCTCGATTCAATATTAGCAATGTTAGAAGACAGCTCTGTTTGAGTAACCTGGTTATTTTGTATGTTGGTTTCGCAGGCCGCTATTAAGTCATCATGCCGAGAGATCGAGTCCGAATGTTGCTGTAGCAAGTTTCTACAATAAGCAACATCAGTTCTGAGTTGAGATTGAGAGTTCTTAATATCCTTTATGTCACTGGCCATAGTTGATAATTGGTTAAGTATAAGGGTGAGAGTGTCGGTAGGGGTAGACTGATCTGGTTGTAAAGGAGCACTGGTTTCTGAACGAGCACCGCATGTGGAAGAGGTGGATCCGCTTCGGGTAACTCGTCCCTGTTTACAACAGGCTGGGCAAGACCATCGTTCTTTTTCGTCCGTCCATGGGAGGTAGCAATACTCCTGCTACAAGTTGCGCATATCACTGGTATTGTGGGTGCAAAAAAAAACACGTAAATATACAGTGAGTGTAAAAAGTATTCGTACACCTGGTTTCCATAACGAAAAATACCATATCTCGCCTAATTTATTGGTTAGACATCCGAAAGAAAATAGATATGTA